ATTTATATTTATATTTATAATTAAAAAGTTGAATCCATTTAAAGACTTATAATACAGGAGGGCTAAAGAGTCTTTTGGTACATTAAAACTGTACAGGCTAGAACCGTCACTATCCGAGGCGCCGGTGGCCCAGGGTGGAGATGGTACAAGCTCAGCACCATGTGGTTCATTTAAAGGACAAGGGACAACTTCCCAGGGGGTTTCCCTGTCCCCTGAGTCCCAGCCTCCAGTCTCTGGTATGCAGCTGGTACCAGGGTGGATAGTTTCCAATCTGTCCTTGTCTTAAGGATCTCCCCACCAGAGCCTGGGCCGTCGCTCCCGGGCCCTGCTCCGTGTCCTAGCAACGTGTAGTGCGAGTCGGTAGTTGCAAAGGTCAGTGCGTCTCTTGGGAGTTTTTCTTTTAAGTGCAAGGATGTTGCATCGTTGCTTGGTTCTCCTCTGGTGTCCCCTCCGGCCAGCTGCAACCTTGGTGAGGCAGCAGTGATGCCACAGGCCCGACCTGCGCCTCCCCAGAGGGAGGAGGTGATGGTGGTGGCTCTCTGGGAGCCATGGGGAGGGTGGCAGGCTGGATGGAGCAAGATGAAGGGTCCCCTCCCCGAGCCCATGGTTTGCAGGGTCTGGCTGTGGCAGGCACGGCTGGGGCTTCACACTCCATCCCCATTTCCTTCAAATGAGGGGTGAGGGCTTCCCAGCAGCTCCACATCTCTGCTCAGGCAAGGCATGGGGGGTAACGCTGGGAGAGGGATGCTGAAATCTCCTGTGGTCTGCTCTGCTCCAAGCACAGAGCAGTGGCTCTTCCCAGTCATCTCCTGCCCCCCTTCTCTGCACGCTCCAAGATGAGTTCTTTATTCACCAAGTGTCACCCTCTCACCATGCACTTGCTCCCCTAGTGCCCTTCCAGGGCACGAGGAAGGCAGAGGGATGGGAAAGGTGGGTCCTCACTGTTTCTTAGAGGCAGTGGGAAGGCAGCACCCCAGACTAGATGTTGTCTCATCTTCCAGCCAGCTCCTCCCAGCCCTGAGGACCTCTTCTGCCATCTCTGTGCTGGGGCCAGCTCTGCCCCTCCATGCCCCACACTGCCAGCCAGGAGCCTCCAGGGAAAGGCAACAGCAAAAAGGCGCTGAGAGGATCGAGACGAGACGCTGAGAGAGACTCATCTCCTCTCAGTTTCACCCTGTCCTTCCTAAAGGGTCATGCAAAACCAAGCAGGAAAGGGAACATAAGGACGGAGAGGAGCTCCCGCAGAAGGCCAGCAGGTGTCCTTCCACATGCGGGAGGCTTCCGTGGTACTGACGGGGGCAAATGACACAAAAGGGATCCCTCCTGCCGGGGGGGTCCCGCTGGTGAAATGATCACGAGACCCATGTGCTTTCCTGGACCAAAAGGAGGAAGGGAGAAGTTGGTCAAGTGTCACCTTACTTAAAGCCACTTCCAGAAGAGCCTTGTGGTTCAAGCACCACCACCACCCAACGGCATCTTCCTCAAGTCCTGTAGCTGCTTCCCCCAACCCCTTTCTTCAGCCCTCTCCTTCCTCCTCGTGTCTCTCACGCTCTCCTAGCTGTAGTGTGACACAGAAGTCATGAGCACTGAAAGAAACAATCATGTCGTCTGAACAGGCACGTCCTCAGGTTTGTCCTGTCCCTTCCCGGGGGTGGCACATGTCCCCTGGGAGGTCAGCAGATGACAGGGACCCCGTCGGTGTTGAAGATCATGCCCGTAGTGGGCTCATAGGTCCCTGCAAGGTAGTAGAGGTCCTCACTGTCTTGGTATTTCTTTGTCTTTAGCATCTGCTCATACTGATCCAGACCAACAACAAGACACTTGTGTGAGATGGTCTGGACATCATTTTCATCCACGTGAGATGACTGGTAGAGGGCTCGCTGCATTGCAGGAACACAAGGAGGGAGATGGAAATAAAAGGAGCAATTAAATCTCAGCACTTACAGCATCATCTTCAATTTGTAGCAAAAACATCCATCGTAACCGGGCAGGGCTTGTGCACACACTCAAGGAGAACTCCCCACTCATCCCAGCCCAGCAGAGGGGCACTGGGAATCCACAGCTACTCCCACCCTCCCAAAAACACCCATCCAAAGCTGTGGACTCAGCAGCCAAGGCAAAAATCAAGAGCCAGAGAAGCTCAGGGGCATTTCCCTAGCAGCACTTGTTATGGGGTCCCCAGCGTTCTCTCCCAGCCCTCCCCAGTCTCACCAACCTCCATAAAGTCCTTCCTCTGGTTGGATGCCTGCAAAGCTGTGGACAGACTCCTGCCCGACTTCTGATCCCAGCGCTGTGCCCAAGAGGAAGAGAAAGCAGAAAAGCAAAGCAGGTGAATTATTTCTTTTTTGAAGCTAACACTTCCTGCACACCACAAAATCACAGAATGTTAGGGGTTGGAAGGGATATCTGGAGATCAACTAGTCCAACCCCCTGTCACACCCACCTTTACAACCTCCACCCATCTGCAGCCACCAGTAATAAACAGTAAGAGCTGACTGTAAACCACACTGTGCATATGTGCAAAATTCAGTGTTTCTGAGCACCAGATCAGTTGTTTTTACACTGTGAAAAGCCTCCACCCAGCTCTTCACACACTTTTTGGACCAATGCAGTCTTACACTTCCTACTACAATAAAACCCACCCTTCCCCAACTCAAGAGGTAAACACCAGGCCTGTCCACAGCACAGGCAGCCCCCACAGCACAAAACGATGGGGCCACCCCCATTATGGCACCAGTAACACCCCAGGCTGTGGGTGCTTTCCTCATCCTTGGAAACAAAAGGGAACAAGCAGCTTTGCAGCCCTCTCAGCAAAGGAGTCCAGCCTACCTTGCCTTCATTGAGTTTCTTCCCAGGGTTAGTTTCTTCTGGGTGATAAAACCACTTGACTCGGACCACCATATTGTTCCCCCACGACTCCCACATGCTCTGGATGCGGCCGATGTAGGGCAGGTTGGGGCGGCCGGCGGAGAGGAACACCGCGCAGTCCCCGATGCGGATTATCTCCTTGCCCCGGACAATGGCCTTGTAGAAAAGCTTCCTGGCCTTCCCTTTCATTCCTCGTCTCTGCCAAGAGAGGATTGAGCAGGTGAGGAGCCAGGGATCAGCCAGGTCTCCCCCACCCATCACGGCTTGCCCCTCCCTGCATCCCACCCTTCGCTGTCAGCGGAGCTACAGTATCCATAAGCATTCCCAACGGAAACGGGGCAGGTGGCTTCCCTAGACACAGTGAAGGCCAAGCCCAAGATCCTTGCAAACAGGAGACCTTGGCTGGGGACACACCGTGCCAGTACAGTTCCACCACCCCAGGAGAGGGGAAAAGGGAGGGGTAGGAGGCACCACTAGGCAAACGCCAGTGCCGAGCATTAGGGATCGGTGGGACAGGCTCTGGTTACCTGTGTGGGTTTCCCAAACCACTTCCACAGCTGCCGTGCGGGGAGGAAAGCAGCGATCTTGGGCCTGTTCTCCACCGAGGGCAGGCGCTGGCGCTTGGCCAGCTCCTTGGTGGTGGGCAGGTGGATGCCCTCACGTTTTTTGGGCCTGCTCTTGTTGCTGCTCTGCTGCGGTGCCGGCGGCTGCACCGGCTGCTGCACCAGCTGCTTCTGGCTCTGGGGGTGGGAGGAAGCACGAGACTTCCCTGCCTGCTTGGTTTGCTTGGGTGGGAGGGTTTGCTGCACCGAGGAACTTGGCTGGGCCTCAGCTACTTCATCATCAGAGCTACAGGAGGAATCTTCATCTGTAGTGGAAGAGGAAGACGAGCTGGAGCTTGATGAAGAAGAGGTTGATGAGGCTGAGGACGAGGAGGAAGAGGAGGATGAAGAGGAGCTGCTGCTAGAGGATGAAGAGGAGGAGGAGGAGTTGGAGGAAGAGAGAGGGGTGGATGCTCTTGAGCTGGCTGAGCTGCTGTCCTGGGCTTCTCCTTGGTTCTTCTCAGCCTCCTCTTCTCCTTCTGACTCTGAGCTGCTGTCACTGCTGTTGCTCTCAGACTCCTCCACAGCTGCCGGAACTGCTGCCTTTTCTTCCTGGTCCTTTGAAGCACTGAGACTCTCTGCTGAGCCATCAAACTTTCCTCCAAAGCTAGCAGAGGAAGGGTCTCCTTCAGCTGCTTTGGCTCGGGAAGATTTCTGCTTGCCCTCCACACCCACAGCAGTGGAATAGCCCAGCCCCAAGAGACCCTTGCTGTCTCTGCGACTGGCCAGGTTTGAGTCCTCCAACATCCTCATCGCCTCCTTCATCTTCTTTGTCTTTGGAGACATCACACCCTCATGGTCCAGCTTGATCAGGATTTCATTATCATGCTTCCTCTGAGCCTTGACCATGGTGCCAAACTCCTGCGTCTCTTCTGCGGGCCGTCCTTTCTTGGCCTTGGCTTTCGACACTGAAGCATCTCCAGAGCCAAAGGCCGCCAGAGTCCCTGGGAGGTCACCATAGGGTTCCGAGCCCAGGATGCTGCTGAACACAGCAGGCTGGTACGTGGGTTGTGGGGGGCTGTGCAGCTTAGTGGGGATCTTCATTTTGCTGGCTTTTGACCGCTTTTCCTCTGGGGGGGCAGGGGAGGCTCCTGTCGCCAGCGGTTGCGATTTCCGCGACCCCTTCATGCTTGGCTTGGCCAGGCAGGCTGGCTTCTCTGGGACTGCAGAGGGAACTGGTGAAGACTCAACCTGGTCCTTCTCTTCAGGCAAGGCAGCCTCTTCTGCAGAGAGGAAAAAACAGAAAGGACATGATGGTATCCACCCAGATGGGCTTTATTAGCTCAGGCATAACCAGGCACCAATGCTGACCAGTCTCTGGCCAAGAGTGGCTTGCTCCTGACTGCTCAGATGTCCCCAGAGAGGCACAGGTGCTCACTGCTCACTGAACAGCCATATTAAGCAGTCTGGCCCGATTCCAGAACCCATTAGCATTTGCTGGGCAATGCTCAGCAACGCTGCTTCAACTGCAGGGGCACCAAACTGCAAAACTCCTGCATCTTTGGCCCTCCTGATAGCTCCTGAGATGCTCAGCTGAAAAAGAGACACTGCTCTGCAGCCCTGACTGATGGAAGGAGGCTCTGGCAGTGCAGAGCAGCTTCTGAGCCAGCCTCCTGCAAAGTGCAGCCACAGCAGAGAGAGCTGATGCATGGATACTCTGCACTCAAGCAGTGCATCCAGTCCTCTCAACATCTTGCCCCACTTGCGGCAAGTGAGAATGACAGGAATCTGTGCTAGGACTCTCCCAACTCCAGCCCTGGCAGTGGTGACAACCTACCAGCTTTTGCCTTGACACTTGGCTTTCTCCCTCGGCCTTTGCCCTTTGAGACAGGCTCTTCTGACCCCAGTGTAGCTCCCTCTTTTCCTTCTCCAGTGTCTTTGCTGGATTTACGGCTACGGCGCTTGGTGCTGGGCACCAAAAGGGCCGGGGAAGGCTCAGCACCTGGAACAAGTCAAAGAGATGGTCAAATGCAATCACATAAGACAGGTCAGATAGGTAGATAGGTAGGTAGGTAGGTAGGTAGATAGGTAGGTAGGCAGGTAGATAGATAGATAGACAGACAGAAAGACAGACAGATATAAAAATATCACATAACATAGGTTAGATATTAGGAAGAAATTTGTCACCACGAGGGCAGTAAGGTGCTGGAAAAGGTTACCCAGGGAGGTTGCTGATGTTCCCTCCCTGGAGGTGTTCAAGGCCAGGTTGGATGAGGCTTGTGCAGCCTGGTGTCAATGTCTCTGCTCATAGGAGGGGGATTGGAACCTCATGACCTTTAAGATTCCTTCCAACCTTAACCATTCCATGATTCTATGGTAACACAGAGATGATGTAGGGAATGTACCCCTACCAATTCCACAGAAGGGACCAGGCCTTTTCCCCTGTGGGTTATACGCCACCTTAGCTCTGCATGTCAGTAATTGACAGTGTAAACTTTGTGATCGGAAGTCTGTGACCTTGGCCCAAAATTTCAGAGGCAGATGGCACAAAACTCCCTACATTTCATAGTGGGAAGTGTCATGCAAAAAAAGAAAAATTTAAGAGCAGCAAGACTCACACTGGATCTTGTAGTCAGGTGGGAGAAGCCGGATGTGAGACAGCGGGATCCGTCCTGTGTCCCCATCATCAAACTCTACTGTGATGAGATCACCATCTTCCTCCAGATCCAGGGCTCCTGTGGGTTGGGGGAGCAGAAGAAGGGATTAGGGACAAACATCAGAGTACAAATCCCTTCTCAGGGAGTAGGGACATGGGGGAAGACAGAGATCCTGCACAAAGGATGCCATCCCCACCTTTCCTAGGCAGTGCAGGGAGAGGACAAAAGGCTCACTCTGCAACAAAGTCCCTGATAACACTAAACCAGCAGATCCAGTGCAAAAATTCCCAGTCAGCAGAACTGCTGCAGAACACAACAACCACTCCAGTTTGACTTCCTCCCTCTTTGCCTTACTTTCCTCTATTCTTGCAGAAATTCACTTGTTTTCACCACAGAATCTTTCTTTTTGTTCTCCTACCTGCATTTTGTAACTACTCTCTGCAATCACAAGCTGTTGCTTTTCATGTTCCCTCCAAGAGAAATAAGCTGTGTTCCCAGCCTCCCTTCTAGCATCAGCATCACTTCTCTGTAACTCCTAAGTAATTCCTCCCTTGCACACACACACAGTGTGACCAAGAGCCCTAAAGCAAGACCAGCCATGGTAGAACTGTCCAGGGTTCTTCACTGTTTTTTTAATGGGACCAAATGGGGGTGCTGATGTGTCAGAGGCAAAGCTATGAGTGTGCAGGTAATTTAGAAACCTTCACAACCTCAGAAATCCTCGGTGTCTGGAATTAATTCTGACTTTTTGAAATATGTTGTATTTCCTTGATATTTTAAGCTCCTAAATTGTTCATACCTCTTCCTGCAAGAGCACATCTCCTGGACCAACAGGATATTACTGAACCAGCATCACAACTGAGCTGGGTATGACCCAGAGGAGAGGAATGGGCCAGGCTCTGACCTCCGGGACACTCACAGAAGGCCTCAAGGTTTCTCCAGACAAGCCTGACACCCTTCAGGACACTCAGGACTGAGACAACCCTGGTTCACAGCACAGAGCAGCCAGGGTGCCCTTACCTCGGACAACTGTCCCTGGGTAGAGGCAGCGGTACTGCTGGCTCCAGTAGGCTGCAATCCTGGTGCCCTCGGGCAGGAACCGCACGGAAGGTGGTTTCACATCGATGATCTGCTCAGGGCAAGAGGAAAGCAATTACTGATGTTCTTGGCACCAGCAGAGATCAACCCACCACACCTGGCATGTAGCAAAGCAGCTGTGGAGAAGGCAAGGGACTGCTTCCCTGCGGGAAAATGGCCTCCTGTGTGCTCACAGGGCTGGTAAAGGACTGTCCCTTCTGGCATAGAGGCACAGTGGCCACTGTCAGTGCAGGAGCTCAGCCATGGGGCAACCACCCACACCAAGGGGAGCTCTGCCCAGTCTGGCCACAGAGGCAAGACCAGGGTATTCCTGCCACCCCAGCTGGGGGAGGAGGAGGCTTCCAGCTAGCCTATCCACCCCAAAACAGGGCTCAGACACCAAGGACAGACACCCTTTGGCCTCACATACCGCCTCCTGCAAGAGCTGCTCCAGGCAGTAAATGTGGGGACGATTTCCCCTCTCACCTTCCACCACCACACGGTATCTGAAACAGAGAGGCCTGATCAAACACTGCACACAAAAGACATGACCCTCATCAGCGAACACCTCCCTCTGAGCCCTACCACCAGTTTAGTTGAGAGTGTTTAATCAGAGGTAATTGGATTTTCCTCAATGCTGATAAACCAGACTGAACTCTCTTTTCCTCCCTGCTAGACTGTCAGTCTCTCTCCAGTCAGTTCTACACAACCCCCAAATCAATCCCTGCATCAGGGATTCAGGGATACATCCCCGTCCACCAGCAGAGCCAGGGTGGACTCAGCAGCCCCTCAACTCACATGTCAGGTGAGTGCACCGTCTTGACATGGCCTGCATAGAGCAGCTTGTCATCCATGGGGATGAGGACACGCAGCCCATCCTTCAGCTCATCCTTGTCAATGATGCAGGAGCGGGGAGCTGTGAGGTGTTGGAGCGAGGTGGGGATTAGAGAGCATCACACATGAAAATCAAGAGCAAGGGGAGAAGGAAACTTCATACTCCCAGCATCACCCTTCCCAAGGAAATGGCCAGTAAGCCCCCTGCAGAAAGGGCTTGCTCTGGCTTGTTCCTGGCAGAGGAAAATTTTTCCCTTATGGTGATAATGAAAAGCCCCCCCTTCTTGGTAATAATAATAATACACCAGTAAATGAAAATTGGGCAACTCAGAGAAAGGACTTAACCTCGATGTCACAGTTGGCCACTCTGGTAAGGTTTGGTTTTGGCAAGCCAAATTGGACTGGAAAAGTGGTGTCTCCACCCCAAGGTCTAGCAGCTTTGGATGAGGAAAGTGTGAAAGCAGCACAGTCCTCCTGCAGGCAGCCCTGGGAAACCCGCCCTGCTCCTCTAGCTGTACCATCAGCCCCTAGCCCCTCCTGCCCTCACCTGGTGTGGGTGGCCTCTCGACCAGCATGCTCAGAGGGATGTTCTCATCCTCTGAGAAGCTGCTATCTTGGTTGGGTTCAAAATCCTCCTCTGCTGCCATGCTCTCCATGAGTTTGCTGACAGCTCCTCCTTTCCCTCGGTTCTGCAGGAGAGCAAGCAGCACATCAGCTGGCTGACAACAGGCAACAGTTTGATCCCACCTCCCCTTCCTCCAGCAACAAATACCCTGAGAACATTGGGACAAACTTGTCTCCATCCTCAGCAATTTTAATCACACAGAGAGAAAGTGGGTGTAATCAAACCCACTTTTTGGTTGAATACAGACCTCTTGTGTTTTTTTCTGGCCCAAGCACCACTGACAGCTAACCAAAAGCTACTTCACACATCCTAGCCACATGTCACTCCTGGAGGTAAGGGCAGATGCTGTGGAGCAGACAGCTGTAGCTCAGCTCTGCATTCACCATCCCTCTTCACCTGAGACCCTGTCTTCCCTGACCAGGCAGCAGACACTGTTCCTGTATCTTCTCAAAGCCCCACAATCCCTTTCTTGCTCATACACACAGACCATAAGCACTACTCTAAAACACCAGGTGAGAAGATGCAGTGATGTGTGTTGTGATAGGACACAGGACACAGCAATGGAGCAGGAACCAGTAAACTGGCTCGCCCAGTACCGAGCAGAGCGACTCCATCATCATCTCCTTGGTCCTTGCTATTTATCAAAGCTCTCCCTCCACCGTGTGGCAGCCTTAGAGAAAAGCCTGCCTGCTCATTCATTTGGGGGATGAAGGCAAATGAACGCCAGATGGTAGCAGCAGGTACTACAGGATTGGATTTTAGGCTTCTCAAACCAGCATTTTGCTGTAACACACCCAGCAAAACCTGGATATCTGTCTTCCCTCCCTCACACTGCAAAAGTCCAGGGAAA